TGTTCTTTTTTTTTTTTTTTTTTTTTTTAATTTATTTATTTATTTATTAAACATTTCTGTCTCTTCCCCACTGCCGCCTCCCCTTTCCCTCCCCCTCCCCCAACCAAGCCCCCCTCCCTCGTCAGCCCAAAAAGCAATCAGGGTTCTCTGCCCTGTGGGAAGTCCAAGGACCACCCACCTCCATCCAGGTCTAGTAAGGTGAGCATCCACGAAACTGCCTAGGCTCCCACAAAACCACTAGGTCCAGTAGAATCAAAAACCCGTTGCCATTGTTCTTGAGGTCTCAGTAGTCCTCCTTGTCCGCTATGTTCAGCGAGACCAGTTTTGACCCAGGCTTTTTCAGACCCAGGCCAGCTGGCCTTGGTGAGTTCCCGATCCCCAGACCCAAAAAGAGGAACATGGAATGTTCTCACTCATATTTGGTTTCTAGCCATAAATAAAGGACATTGAACCTATAAGTTGGGTTCTTAGAGAAGCTAAATAAGAAGGAGAACCCAAAGAAAATCCTGAATATTTCTCCTGAATATTAAACTTCATCAGGCGATGAAAGGAGACAGAGACAGAGAACCACATTGGAGCACCGGACTGAAATCTCAAGGTCCAAATCAGGAGCAGAAGGAGAGAGAGCACAAGCAAGGAACTTAGGACTGGGAGGGGTGCACCCATACACTGAGACAATGGGGATCGGGAACTCACTAAGATGTTCTTGATTGAACTCACTGAGATACCTTTGCCTCCGCCTCCCCAAGTTCTGGGATTAAATGTATGCTTCACACTGCCCTGTTTTTGAGTGAATCTTTCATCCTGGATTGAAATCAGTTTGCTCATAATGTATACTCCTCCTAAAATGCTGTTAGATTTGAATTGCAGGTTTTTTTTGTGGGTTTTATGTTAATCAAGGAAATTGATCTCTTTGTCATTTTCCCCTTATGTCTTTGTATCTAATTAATGTTGGCTTCATAGTTGTGAGTTTTTTCTTCTCCTTTTCTGGTGGTGATTCTTCCTTCTTTATGGCATGGAACAGTTCCAGGGGCATTAGTGTTAGCTCTTCATTAAAGGCCTGGCCGAATTTGGCAGATGATCTCTTCAATTAGGAGCTTTACTCTAGAGAGTTGTTATATTACTGCTTCAATAGAGTTGCTTGCTAAGGTTCTGTTGAAATTTTTGATATCATTGTGATTTAATGTGGTTATGTGACATGTATCCTGACACAGATCCATTTCTTCTAGATATTCAAGTTGGAAGAGTGTTGAAATAGGAGTGGCGGGGCTGCGTCCCCGGCACCTGGCCGCCCACATGGCTAGCTTATGCCCGAAATAATTACACGGAAACTGTATTCTATTAAACACTGCCTGGCCCGGCTAGGTCCAGCTTCTTATTGGCTAGCTCTTACATATTGTTCTAACCCATTTCTAATATTCTGTGTAGCCCACAAGCTGGCTTACCAGGGAGGATCTTAACCTGCGTCTGTCTGGAGTGGGAGCATCATGGCGACTCCTTCACTAAGCTTCTTCCTCCCAGAATTCTCTTCTGTTTTCTCCACCCACCTAAGGGTGGGCCTATCAAGGGGCCTAGGCAGTTTCTTTATTAATAAGAAATCACTCCCACATCATTTTCCCTTTTACTGTTTAAACAAAAAAGAAAGGCTTTAACTTTAACATAGTAAAATTACATATAACAAAACAGTTATCAAGTAAGAATTACAGTTACAATATTTATATCTATTTTATCTCTTATCATAACTAAGGAAAACTATACCTATTCATTCTTCAACTCCATCAAAGACTCCAGAAGGATATAATAATACCTAAGTAAACAAGAAATAAGAAAACTCTAGAAATGACAGAGACATCTCGCTGCCTGGACAGTCACCCAAAGTTCTTCGGTACCGTTGGGGCATCCATCTTCAGCCTTCAGGCCCATAATATCCATCAGACATTTCCAAGAAGCAGGAAATTCCAAAGACAGTTCAGTCATTTTTTGCTGTGTCCTGCAGAATGTCTCGCAGACTCTTTCATGAATCAGGAACCCCGAAAGACCATCTCACCTTTAGGCAAGTTCAGTAGTCCTCTCTCTGCGGGTTCTCTGTGTCCAGTTTATGCAACAGTCCAGGCAAGAACAGTTTCTTGCCCAAATGGCTATCAAACTCTGTAAGGATCCTCTTGATGCCCATCTTCCTCTTGAAGTAGCTGGTGCTGCCAGGAGCAGATGTGTCTCCTTGTCATGAAAAGCCCTAAGTTATTAAAATATTTTAAATGCCATATTCTGCAGTCTTTGAGAGATATGAAGAATGTTTATCTAACTGAAATATATCTCTATATATCTAGAAAATCTAATTAACATGACTACAAACTTAACTATTAGCGATGATTATCCATTAACAACCTATATTTCCTAATTATACATTACATTTTAAATGAACTACACAATCACAATACCTTAATCAAGTTCAAAAATACATATACATATAACAAAATTGACCTTAAAATCCATACCAATGTAAATTATTCATATCTATACCATACCCCCCTTTAAATGTAAAAGAACAGTTATAAACAGTATTTGGGAACATGGGCGTAGTTTCTTCTCTCCAAACTGCTTCCTGCTCAATAGGGACGTCGTTAATTAGGTCGTTCATGATATAACCTGTGTGCTAGTTTCATCTCAGTTGGCAATTGAGCAAAGCAATTTTTTGAGGGTATTCACAGCAACCTTTCAGTAGGGCGTGGTCTATCATACCAAATCGGAATAGAAGAAATCCACAGGGTCTGGTCCTCTGTGAAAACAAAAGAAGACCTTTTCCAAAGCATCATAACCTTAGATCCAAATTCTGAAGTCACGGTACCTTTAGAACATATGTGCAGGTTCAGCTTAGCAGCCCATATAATGAAATGTCTCTCTGTACTTAGCTCCTTCACAGTCAAAAATTTTAAAGAAAACACAATGTAAATAATCCAGACTCTCTGTGAATTTTCCATTTTTACGTGGCTTATTTTTCTTTATTTCTTTTAATCTATAACTATCTGTACTTCTGTACTCTGTCTCTTTAAAAAGACTTTACCCTTTTTCTTTTTAAGACATTAACTTTTTTATATTCCTTTTCTTCTCTTTCCCAAGCCTACGTACATTCATTCAACAATGTGATCCATAAAGGTCTTTTATGTCTGAATCTGTTTTATTGTGACTCTGTAATTTTACAGAAGAGTGTAAGATTTCAAAGTCCTACCCAATGATTGCTTCCTTGGATTGCATTTGAGTGCATTGCAGTTCCCTACTTTGTATCTCTATTTTATCAATGTAGGTCTGTTTCTCTTGCTGTTGCTTGTGTATTTATGCACAGGACACAACCTTTGAATAATGTTGTACATTGTTGTTTTATTATTCATTCCATTTATTTCATAATATTTATCAGCTCTTCCCATTGATTGACTTTGTATTCATCTTGAGCTTTTCCATTGACAAGAGGTTCATCATTAGTTGCTAACTTGAGATCTCTCTGAATTTGGTCATTATTTGAATCCATCTGTTTCTTTAAGTAGGCATTTACAATCATAAACTTTCCTCATCTTATAGCTGTATCTTGAAGATGCTGAGAAAAGGTGTTATTTTCATTTAATTCTAGGAATTGTTTTCTCACTGATTTTTTTCCCAATAAATCAAGTGGTAATTCAAGAGTATACTGTGCATTCTCCAATTGTTTATGTGGTTCCTTCCTAAGAGATGTCATCAATGAAGGTACAAAGGAAGAGCTTATCTGCATGTTGGAGAACACTAACTTGTAAGTAAGAAAATGCAGATTGATCCCGTGACAGTGTCTGTCAATAAAAGTGAGTACTGTCTTGGAACTGTTGGGCAATATAGTTCAATAGAGTTGAATGATTTGATTTGATGGATCTCCAAACATAAAAAGGTATTGATAAACCAGGTATAAATGTAAGCAAAAAAATACATTGCTTAAACCTAAGATTGTGAACCATTTGATCCTCTCAGGGATTTGTGTTAACAAAGAATAGGGTCGTGGGCTCCTGTGTGTGTAGGGAATATGGGCTGGTTAAAGAAGAGGAGTCCTTTACTGACCTTCATACTCATTACCTTTTGAGCATCCAACCTTGTGGAATTACATGAAGTGTTGCTGGATTTTGAGACCCTTGTGACTTTAAATAATCTATTATGATTTTTAATCCCTTCCAATATTATATTTTAGAGGATATTGTCTTTGATGAGGGAAAGAAAAGAGGTTCTTGAGATGAATTTAGACTGTGATGATAAAGTAGACATTGGAAATTGGAAGATAGAATACCCTTGCAAGCAAAGGAAGCTGCAACTTCCCCATCCAATTTGTAAAGGCTTTGGAGGCTAGACTGTCTTTGGAGACAGATTTTCTGTATCCAGATTAACTCTTCACAAGTTGACCAATAGAACCATTAGGATTTTAGGCTGTCATCTTCAATTCTCAACGATCAGACACCATGACCATTCAGGATGTTGGGTTAGGCAAATTTATAACACTGGTTTTGTGTCTTTGTAGCTGCAAGGTAGGTCAAACTGCCAGCTCTCACCTGTCTTCACCACCAGAGTGAACTCTCCAGCATTGCCCCAGCTAGTTCACCTTTTACAGTGTTAAGTAAGGGCTTTGCCTAGTTCTCCTTTTTTCATGCCCTCAAGGTGAGCTCTCTTATACCTACATCTTCAGTGCCCACTCTAATTGTCCTGGAAGGTGTAGGGTTCACTCTCCCAAGTGTTCCTCCTGGTAAGGGTTAAGGTAGAACCCTTGCCCACCTCAGGTTGCAGAGGAAAGAATGGGGAGGGAACCCTTTTCTTCTGGTCTATGAGATTTTTGTTATTATTTCAAGACAAGGTTTCTCTGTAGGTTTGGTGACTGTTGCGAAAGCTCCTTCCGCTCCTTCAGGCAATAGCTGCGGAGATACCAGCCCATTGGGGCGTGGTCTCTCTTTCTTTAAAGAAGCAGCAACTGCCCTTGCTTGCACCCTGGATTCCGGCTCCACTTCTGGAGAGTAGGCTCCCTTCCTGATTGCACAGAGAGCTGTTGTCTGGGACAGTGATCTGTAAGTTTTTCCCCTTTAAATAAAAATAAACTCTCTATTGGTCATAATTCCAAACTGGTGTGGGATTGTTTGTGACTTAAGCCTTCAATTGGTGCCTGAATATGTGGCTTTTTGGCTACCCGCCTCCAAGCCTCTGGTCATTGCATGGCTGCCAGGAGCTGGCGACCTCTCTGCCGGCAAGCGAGCGAACAGAGCTCAGAAAGCATGACTCAGCTCGCCCCCCCCCCCCCACTTTGCTGCAGCTTGACCGCCCCCCATATTTGCCCACGCCTAGCAGCAACAACAGCGTGGCCGACGCACAGCGCCACACAGCGCCACAGACCACACAGCTCCACACAGTGCCACACAGCGCCACACAGCACCACATAGCACCACACAGCGCCACACAGCACCACACAGCGCACGCGACTGCTCCGCGTCCTCTCCCCACAGGCGGCTGAGTCCGACTTATGCTGCCACCCTCCTGTAATTAAATAATTCACACAGCACACGGTCTGTGAGTTTAACTTCTGGATTTGAGTATATATTTCAGATTTTTTTTTTCAGATTCTGACTCCCTGGCCACGTGGATTCAGGTGCACCCCGCCACCTATTGGCAGGCAACGATCATTATAGGTAAAATTTCTTTTGATTAAATACAAATAATTACAGGTTTGCTTGAAAATGTTGGACATTACCATTTAAGGTTTTCACAGCTTTTTAAATTATACCATGTCTGAGATTTTTCAAGAGGATATCCCACTGGTTTGGATATTCCTTGGGCTTATTATTCTACTTTTTTTTTTTGGCAGCTTCTTTAAAATATGGTTTGATATTAGAAAAATGATACAGTCCTTACAGAATGAATCCAGGATTCTTAGGGCAGAGGTTGAATGCTTAAGAAAGGGCACAATTGTTTTGAGTGACAACTTTCAGTCGGTTGAGGTAATTTCAAAAACAATTCAGACTGACACCAACCTCCTCAAGAAAGAGTTTGAAATTCTCAAAGAGGAGAATAGATATTTGTCTAATATAACTCAGTCAACTGAGCAAAATTTAGAAAAGATGCAGTCTAATACTAAAGAGAGCTTTGCTGCTCTGGAGGAGGGGACAGCTGATTTGGCTCGTAAACTTCAGTCCCTGTCTGTAGGTGCTGAAACATTATCTGAGAGGATTCAAACCGCTAATAGGACTTTATCAAAGGGGTATGGAAGATTAATGGACAGAATTTCAATACAAAAAGGCACAATTTATGCTATGAAAATTATGTCCAAGGTTGAGATATTATCTCTAACGAACGAACTTCATACCAGGAGATGTGCTACGTTGGGGAAGGGGTTTTGCTCTTGTTTCCACAGGAGAAGAAAAATTGTGGATACCATCAAAATTAATAAAGATTCGATTTGAAAAGGAGAAACCTCTTGGAAAGATGAAATGACAGCTCATCCACAATGATGATATTCATACAGGTGGTAAGAAAAACATATAGAATGGGGGTAGGGTTCTGTTCTTATTTCCACAGGAAAATATTCATCTTTGAAAAATTCAAGGGTCCCTGGATGTTTGAATACTGACAGATGGAAAAATAAGAGTCCAAAAGGAACTCTCAAGAAAACTGAATAGGTTCTGTAAGTTTAAAAATCTAAGATATACAAAATCATATTTCTAAATTTATAGAGCTGGTTTTGGAGCTGGCCTCTGGCTCAGTCCCTCTCCAATTCCAAGCCTGTTGTTAAGAGAAAAAAACCAGAGTTTCTGTCTCATGTCAAGAGCCATGATAGGGGACGGAAAGAAATATGAGTTTAGAAAACATTTTTGCTTTTCTTCATATATATCATACCTTTCATTGAATATATCTATCATGCCTTTCATTGAATATATGTATGTCTATATATATCTATATGATTAATGTTTAAGTTTTTCAAAATGAACAATGAGTTTTTCCTGCAGTGATATTTGAATTTTCCAGGAAGAAGATGGGGCCCCATAACAACAACTCCACCTGGTTGATAGGAAGTCATGATACTGATAGTGCTACTACAAAACCTGTTTTTGGTACCAGCTGCACAAGATGGTTCCAACTTGGTTAGCTGAAATGGTGCACATCTTGTACAACATTCTGGCCAGACCTGCACAAAATACTCAAAGACTATTTGCAATCTTAAAAGACATTGATCTTGAAATTTAACCATCATTTTACTTTCACAGGATCCCCCAAAAAGAATGTCACCTCCATGAGAGCTGGAAGTAATTCTAGAGGACGATGTCCCCTCTCCCAGTAAAGTTTGTCCTTGGGTTTAGGGACATCATTTACGGGTTGATTATAATTAGTATATGATTGAGGGAGGAATTTTATAAGCTCAAAGATCTTTTTGAAAAAAAAAGAAGAGGGATAATTGGATGATGCGATAATAGATTTGTAATTGTGAGTTACTATTTTTAGACAAATATATTGGTATTGATTCTTGGATATTGATACAAAGTTAAATTATATTGACTATTGTATGCATGTATGCTTCTACCTCTGTTTAAAACATTTTTATGTATTGATCTATATTGTATTGGTATATATATACACATATATATGTATATATATCATATAAATTTACCATATTGCAGTGTACATTTCTACCTCTGATTAAGATACTTATATATTGTTTATGTATTAATATATATTTACCATATTGCATTGTATATTTGTACATTGTTTTTATTTGGAGGTTATATTGTCCTCATTCATTGCACAATTGTTTATTGTCTTAGTCTTTACGTTAGATAGGTATTGAGAATTATATAGATCAATAGTCATCTAAGTTTGTCATTTATAATTAGACTAATCAGGTTCCTTAGATACATAGAGATTATATTCAGTATAGATAGATAATCTTCAACCTCTTCAAAGAGCTGTAGAAAATGGCCTTTAATCTAACTCAGAGTTTCGTGGTAGTGAGACACAATTGCTCCTGGCAACACTGATCTATTCCTGAGAGAATGTTGAACACCGAAGACACTCCACCTGGAGCCTTTCTTTTTGGCAGAACTGGCCTTTGGGCAAAGAAATGCCCATGCCTCAACCACTGACAGAGATACAGAATATCTGTCCATGGATAAAACAGGACTGTCATATCCTGCCAAGACAGGGTAAAATAGTTTTGAAAAGTTTCTTGCCTTTGAAAATGGCAAGTTATGTTAGGCCTTAGCCAAAGTTGGTTGCTTCAATGCTGCAAACATGACCTTGGGTGATTGCCCAGGTAGCTAGTTGTCTCTGTGAGTTGTTGCATAACATTATTTCCCTTCTCAGATCTTCAATGGGGTTGATGACTTGGCCAAGTTATTTATTATACATGACTTAAGCTAGTTAGAATAGGATATTTGTACTTATTGTATATAATTTCATAGTAGGTTTAGAACTTTCATACTTAAACAAAAGGGGGAGGTGTTCCGGGAGCTCCTTCTGCTCCTTCAGCCAATAGCTGCTGAGATACCAGCCCATTGGGGCGTGGTCTCTCTTTAAAAAAGTAGCAACTGTCCTCGCTTGCACTCTGGCTTCTGGCTCCACTTCCTGAGAGTAGGTTCTCTTCCTGATTGCGCAGAGACCTGTTGTCTGGGACAGTGATCTGTAAGTTTTTCCCCTTTAAATAAATAACCTCTCTATTGGTCATAATTCCAAACTGGTGTGGGATTTTTGTGACTTATGCCTTCATGGAACTAGCTCTTTTAGAATAGGCTGGCCTTGAACTCACAGAAATTGGCCTGCATTTGCCTCCTGACTGCTGGGATTAAAGGCATGTGCCACCGCCGTCCAGCATGCTCTGTGCTTAACAAGAAAGGCACAGGATTTTCCCACAAGTTTTTGACCTGTCACAGATAATTTCTGGTTGATTAAGATTCAATCCTTGTCCTTTTAATCCTTCTATTATATAACTTGAAAAATGTTTATTTCACTGTACTATTAAGGGTCTACCATGGTTCCATTAATGGTTTTCTTTGGAAAATGCCTTTTTGACCTCAGGTATATTTCCTTTTCACAAAGAAACTGGTGAGATGGACCATATGATACAAGAAGGTCATCAGTGTAAGACTCAGCAGCCCGGAAACAACTTGTTTTTTTTTGTACTCACATTTGTCTGACCTAGGACTCACTCTATCTTTAACTAGGTTATATCCACTAATAGTGCAATTTTGGAAAGTTTTAGTATGTTTGTCAGGGTCAACTGAAAAATCTCATAAACTCTTATTTAATCTGATTTAAAATGAAAGGAAGGAGGATTTGTATTCTGGAGGGCAAAATTATCTTGACATTTCCTATAAGTGGAGACTAAAGAAGTCAAAGTCTACTTAATGGTGGGTAATTAATAGAGAATTCCACATATTGTTTTCTCAGAGAGGCATTGATCTAACACAGATTCAGGTGTAGTGGAGGCTAGATAGGTAGATTTCACATAACAGTGTCCACAGTAATTTAAACTCTTTTTGGAAAGCAAGAAAATTACTTGAATATAGGGGCCCTCAGATCATTTTTTAGCCTCATAGCTGGGTATGTCTATTTGGATGGTAGTACTACAGTTAGTACTTCTCTAAGGAGGGCATTTTCTCTCTTTTCCAGCTTATTGACACAGCAAGTCACAGAATAGGAAATTGCTAAGAGCTTCTCATATAGGAATTGAGGATCCAAGGATTTCAAGGGTCTCAGCACTCTAGAGAAGTTGAAACTGATAAGGACTCATTGCCTACCTGAAAAGAGAAGAAGGCTTCCATCAAGTCTTCTCCTTTCCCAAGCCCATGTCTTGAAAGTTCTCTGATGATACCCCGCCTGAAACAATGTGGAATTTGGGGACTAACACCTGATGTCCTGTGTCCTCCATGTGTAATTTGTGTCACATGCTCACCACTTTCATATTTTATACACCACATGCAAAGGATGAAGAAAGGAAGACAGGAGGAAAGAGAAGGAAATGGCAGTAAGACTTTGAACACAACTACAGAAGTCTTTCAAATGATGAGTATTGTATAAGGACAAAATTCAATCAGAAAATCTGATACTAAAGCCTTAATTTGGGGATGGACACAAGATAGAAACTTTGGAACCAAAGCAGAAAATTAGGTGTAACATAGCCTTGTGTTTCTAAGTAACTGCAGCAGGCTGCTTATGAGTGCAACCAAATGAAAGCAATTGGAGAAAAAATCCCTGGGGTGAGAATGTCAGCCTCCTTCTGAAAGATGATTTTGATTCTCAGGTCCCACATGGCGGAGAGAACTAACATTATCCTCTGACTCTCTCTCTCTCTCTCTCTCTCTCTCCTCTCTCTCTCTCTCTCTCNCTCTCTCTCTCTCTCTCTCTCTCTCTCTCTCTCTCTCTCTCTCTCTCTCTCTCTCTCTCCTCTCTCTCTCTCTCACACACACACACACACACACACACACACACACACACTAAATAACTTTGGTTAACTTTTTTCCTGTTGAAATAATTTGTATTCATTATATTTAGAAACACATAGAAAAAGAAACAGTAAATCTTAAGTGATAGGAAATTCTAAAAGGTTTTACTGATGGTGGGATGGATTAGGCAGAGATGTGGTCAGGAAGATAGGGCAGAAAAAGAGAAAATTAAATATGTGTTAACAAAATTTTAAGTGAATAATTATTAATTAAGAAACAACCATGGAGGTCTATATTTTGTTGGGAAATCATTAAATTATAAAGTATATAGGGTGGGACAAACATGTAAATCAGTTCATAAAAGTTTATTTCATTGTTTAAGATCTTTTCTCAAACAAGTTTAGAGCTGTGTATTGAGGTGTCAGAGAGTAAGAGACAGCTGAGATACTGAGCCTCAGTGAGCAGCAACCCCAGGAGGTTTTTGTTTAGCCCTGGAGCACTGTGGGAGGAAGCTCCTTACTCTGCTGACAGAAATATGTTGCAGTATCATCAGCTTCCACAGGATTGATGGTGAGGGTGAAGTCTGTCTCAGACCCACTGCCACTAAACCTGGCTGGGACCCCAGATTCTAGGTTGGATGCACCATAGATAAGGAGTTTGGGAGACTGTCCTGGTTTCTGTTGATACCAGTTCATACGATTTGCTCCATAGTAATTGACACTCTCACTGGACTTGCAGGAGATGGTGACCTTTTGTCCCAGAGACACAGGGAGCAAACCTGGAGACTGGGTCAGCACAATGTCCCCAGTGGAACCTGGAATCACAAACACACAGACCATGGTTATATATGTTTAGAAACTTTCCCAGAAGAGGAATTTTTCATTAAAAATTTTCAAGAATATTTGTAAGCATCACTTTGAGAAACCAGAAAGTCAAAGAGAATGGGGAACATAAACCCAATTACAAATGCCTTAAATCTAATGATAAAGATAGCAGAGGCATGGAAAGCCATGATGGCCCCAGGAGATGCTCCAAACACTCACTGCTCTGCACCCTCTCACCTGGAACCCTGAGCAGCAGCATCCATAGGAGGAGTGCCTTTGACTCCATCTCTGAGTGCTTGAAAAGAGAATGCTTCTTAGGCTCCTTCAGCTGCCCTTAAAGGA